TCCCGTGGACCAAATGCCCTGGCTCTGGGGGGTCATATCTGGCCCACAGGTGGAGGTTGAGCACCCTGATTTAAACAAACAGAATAGTAAAAAAAAATACCATGCATTAGAAGTTCAGAAAAACTTCTGTTTAATATGCTAAGTTTAGTCAAACATACAAAATTATTTTCTAGGTTTAATTGGCATTAAACCTAGATTTGGATACTATAACTACAGTAATTTTTATATTTTGAAATGATACATCTGCCATGTGATCCTTCAGTGTAAGCTTTAGTACAGACCATTTGCAGGCTGTGAGTATAGTGTGCATTCTGCCTGGCCTGGGTTGGCATTGTATTCAACCTAGTGACAACTGGCCTGAACGGGGATGTGGTGTTCTGTCCTGCAATGGCATTTAAAATACACTGGCACAAGGCTCAGAACCTAATGCCAAATCTGACTGTTTTAACTGCCTCTGAGGTTTCCGTAGTGTTTTGAATAAACTTGCCTTTTCTGTTTTAAAGGGGAAGTTTTAAATTTAAAATTAATAAGGTTTACTGCTGTAATCCTTTCACAACATGGACTATATGTTGAAATTTTTGTATGAGCCCTCTTTCACATGTATAATATGATATCTTATTATTTAGGATTTATTTTGTGTCTACGGTATGTTAAGGAAGATTGAATGTAGAATCTCAAGTCTTTGTACAGTCTTAAAACAACAGATTTAAAAATTAATTTTGGAAAACAAGTAATCGGACTTCAGGCTAATATAAAACATGTTTGTTTTGTGAAATGATTAAAGCTTTGTTGAATTGTTGCTGACCAAAGCCTTTGAGAGTTCTTCCTTTTAAGTAAATGTCCTAAGTTTTTTGTCTCAAGGCTTGTATCTTCTCCTAATAAATTATCACCTCTTTTGTATCACATAGAATGTTGCTTTAAGTATGGTAACCATTCACTTAAGAATGGCTAACCATATGAATATCAGTATTTCTTGAGTTTATTGGCTTGAGTTATGAAAGTGATTCACATGTTTCTTTATTAAATAAAAAAATATTGCTAATTTCAAAATCGATAAAGCAATAAGTACTTATCACTTGCGCCATTTAGTTAAAGAAATTAAGGTAACACTTATACAGATCTGAAAATTGGGTATACATATAAAAAAATTATATAATTGAAAATGAGTGTTTCCAGATTGCCAAAAAAGAGAGAGAGAATCAAAACAGATCTCCCTCAAATGTTTGTTAGAGCCAAAATGAGAGATTTCTTAATGTAAATATTTTAGCCTCACACTTGCCACTGCTACTGCATTTTTACTCACTTTTTCATATACTTAGTCTTACTATTGTACAATGGGGATTTTCCTTTCTAAAAAGGGGAAATCAATATTTTATTGAGCTACTTACAAGATTTTTCAGCATTATAGCATTACTTTAGAAAAACTTGCAACATTAGTTAACACATGGAAAACCCATTGTGAAGTATTTCTGATGTAAAAATACTGGCATTCAAAATCTTTCTTATAATTTTGTCCAACCTTTTACTTATCAAATTTGATTTGATTATGTAATGAGCATTCTTGCTTTTGAATTCCAGTTGTAACTTAGGGCTGAAAGGAAGGAAATACTAAATCTATATATAAGAGCTAAGAGAAAATAAAACCAATGTTATAAGGGATTCCCTAGCATCTCTTTGCTGCTATACTAAAGCATGAATCCCAAATCCTATTATCTGTTAAACTTCCCTTGCTTAATAAATCTTCTGTATCATACCATTGCCATACATGGTAAAGGTCTAAAATCTGTAAGAGCAGATGAGGGATTTTTTCATTTCAAGAAAATTTAGCTTTTAAAAGAAGTCTATACCATGTTCTCAGTGACAGTTATATTTGATGTGCTGGAAGCAGCAATATCTATGGAGTACTAGAGGAGTGTTTAATTATTATACAGGCAGTCCTCAGACTTACGACACAGTTGGTTCCTGAAAACCACGTCTTAAGTCGAAACGTAACTTGGAACCAATTTTCCTATAGGAACAATGTTATAAATGGGGGATTGGTTCCTTTTAACATGCTCAATACAACAGGCTCCATCTGGTAAGTCTTTTGTGGTGGTGGGGGGTGGGGCAGATCAATGCCTGCGCAGCGAGGGAGGGATTGGGGTTGGGGCTAGGACAGGGGCTGGGGCGAGGACTGCCCAGCCAGGGTGGG